TATTTAATTTTATTATTATTTTCTTTGTTCCAGGTTCTTATGCAGTGCAGTGCCTATAAGCCGTAGCACCGTTATATCGAGAACATTTTGAAATTTTCTCAATTGACTTATAAATTATGAAATAGGCGACACGGTTATTCGATTATTAGAAAATTGCTGCTATGTATAATTTATAACATAAAATATGTAATTTTCTTATACTTTTTATTTTATGTTGCCAGTAACCTGAATATAATATTACAATAAGATTACATGTGTTCATTGAATATGGAATGTTGCTGTACTTTATTGACAATGTTACAATAACTTTGCTAGAATGATTCATTCGCGAACATCAAATTCATATTGCTGAACGTCCGTTTCAGTAGTTGCTGTGACCTTGCAGTAAGATAGCAACAATATCAGATGTAACATTACACATTACATTGGAATATTGCTGCAATATTTTTGAGATATTAGGTACTTTGCTTAGTGGGTAATCATAGTTAAAATGTCAACATTCGAATTATATATCTGACAGGTGTACCTACCAGCGAAGAGACATGATGAAATAGGAGATAATATATCAGTATAATGTACTTTTTACCACCACTTCACAAACTGGTATCATTGCAAGTGCGCGACGTCGTTTGCTTTTGTCAGAAAACAATAATGAAGATCGGGGAACTACCAGATTGCCGTATTAGAACGCGGCAGGGCTGCCAGTTCTACTGATTCTTCAGGAGATCTACTGATTTGCATATTGATCTATCGATCTACTGATCTACTGAAACATTCAAAGTCTACTGAAAAAAATTATGACACTCTGCACGGAGAAAAAAATCACTAACCCTAAGTGAATATTTAATAGTGGCAAGTAAAAACTTGTATACTATATGTGACAAGGAAACAATAAGTTGATAACCACAAGAATATTTGTGTTCCTGAAAATGTACACCTACCACTAATGACCTGTTTCATTAAATTTCAGAGTGATAACGGTTAGTGAACACATCACTTGTCATCAGTGACCTATTCAATTGTCATTAGTAACTCATTCACTTTTCATTAGTGACTTGTTCACTAGTGACTTGTTCACTAGTCATTAGTGGCCTAATTACATGTCATTAGTGACTTATCTACTAGTCATCAGTTACTTATTTACTTGTCAATAATGACTTATTCACTTGTCATTAGCTAGTATGAAAAAATACCTCCATTGTTCTCTGAAAAATGATAAAACCTTGGTAATAAGACAAAAACACATGCATTCAGAACATTTTATTATATCTAGGTATGATGAATCCAGAAAATACAAAAAAGGTAAGGCTGACGACAAAGATTGAGATACTAGATACCGGCGCGTATATCAGCATCATGCACCGAGAAAAACGGTACTCTCACTCACTGCACTGCACTGCACTCTGATTCACTATCTTTTTCCTTCCAGCATTGAAGATGAATCAACTTTCATACTTTTTGAACGTCACTTCTTTCCACTTCGAGTATCATAGGAAGTGGAAAAAATCCTGTATATATGTAGAAACAATTATGTACTGTTCTAGAAGAGTTTTGTATTTCATTATCTCCTTCAAGAGAACAGATCAAGAACTCAACACCCCACAGCTCAGAGCACGGCCACAGAGCACGGCACACAAACAGAGAATTCTCATACGAATATGATATGACTTGGAATTTCAATGTTACTAGCGGGAACGCAAGTATACTAACTTCACGAATGCTAAGATCGAAATGACGCCGTGGACTCGTGGACACTGGACAGTGATCGCGCTGGGCGTGGGTACTCGAATAATATCGGAGATGTCCGAACGGAAAAGAGATCTATAACTACAGGTGAGCTGTCACCTGCAAACAATCGACTTGATAGATTGTCTTTCTGATGAGTTCGCTCAGAGCAAGTTATCTTATATTTTCCTACCGTTGGTGAAAATGTTCTTGTCACAATCGACTTCTTTTCAAGAAAACAATTTACTTGGCCGAGTTTTCTCAGTGTGTAAATAAATTTTCTGGCGCTACTGATTATAAATTCGAATGCGTCTATAAGCGCTTGATGTGTTGGTAAAGAAGTACTCACTTTTTTGGCGAGAAGAAAAGTAATTTTATGAAAAGTGACATTTTGTTACCTGCCAACATAGATAAATATCAAACTTTTTTAAAGTCACAGAAAAATACATATATTTTTGACGTCCCAGGGCCATTTCATCATCCTGAAATTTGTATAGCGTAAAATAAATCTACTGAAACCTACTGAATTTCTGAGAAGGTATAATTACTGATGAAATAAAAATCGAGACGGCAACCCTGGCACCCAACGCGATGTCAAGATGAGAAATAATATGTCAAGAAAAAAGGCCTTCACAAGATTTTTAGAAGTTTCTTGGCTTTACCTCAAGACAAGACAAGAAGTTGTTATCAAGACAAGAATTCTTGTCTTGGCGACCCCTAATCTCAGCTATATCGTGACAGGGGAACTATTGAACGTTCCAAAATATGCAGTTAATTTGAATTCACAATCTACCGAGGATGAAAATGAAAAAAATTAATTCAATTCTGTTAATTTGGAATGAGGGGATTTTTTGCATATGGAGTTAGAAAGCATGAGGTTATGAAGTTGGCTCGGAAGTAGTTTTCCTCACAAAATAATCCAAATACAATACAAAGTACACATAAAAATCGACCCCTTTTTATTTCAATCAAAAACCACGGCACTGTCCAACAGGTTGTTTGTCTCTGGAGAACTGATATAATATTGATAGCTACTTATACTGGTCCCAATTTGGTAGAGATCGCGCGACTAATAGCTGGTAGCTGATCACACATAATATTTCCGTGCTTTAATCCATCGTGGTTGGATTTTAAACATGTTTGGCGTTTCTTTGCCCCATCAATTCATATTCATTGATATTTGGTTTTTCTACAAACGTCAAAAAATGACAAGGTTCGCGGATTTATAACAAATTGCGAATTGCGTACCTACTTCGCGCATTGTTATAAATATATGAGATATTTATATTTCAACTCTATGGTCCTCAATCGAGCAAACATCCACGAAATCGTTTATTTCTGAATGTTCAACAATAACTTCGTTTTATCTCTTGGAGCGCACGAAAGGAAATTCCTATTATGTTCGTGGAACATCTTGCGTACTTAGGGATGATAGGAAGAGGCCTTTCAAGCCAGTTCAACAGTATTTTTTTATATCAAGCTGAGCATATTTTTACATTAAAACTATATTTTTTGACGTTTTTATAGAAAAAATGTTGTTTGCAACTCGAGCGCAAGATATTTTGGTCATCTCGAGTATTTTTTTATCTCATTTGTGAATCAGATCTCGATCACCAAAGTAGCATTTTGCGCGGTAGATACAAAAATAACTATTTATTTAATAAGTGGCGCTTTCTAACGACAAGGTTCTCTCATTCCCGTATATACAGTGTGTCCACCTTAAGGACTTACCATCCCTGTAAAATCGTTATTATTCGACCAATTTCAAAAAACCTTTTTTTGTTGGATAGGTATTTGAAATGCCCATCCAACGAGAGAGTGATCTAATTCTTGGACTGTTATCGTGGCCAACTGCGACAAATTTGTGGTAACGCCCATATTCCAGAAAGTACTATTAGGGATTTTTTTCCACGAAACTTGAAATATACCTGTACCGATTTTCATCATCATAAAACACAGGGTGTCCAAAAAAACGAATCATCATTTTCTTCAAATAGGTGATCAGCAAAAAAATGTAGTTCTGTGGGTTTTCTAGAAAGAAATATAATCACAAATTATCATCGAGGATTATTTCAAATATACCTGTACCAATTTTCGTCTTTCGAATATACAATGTGTCTGAGAAAAAAATTAAAAAGGATAGGTAAGCAATATTTTTCATCCTGATAATTCTTCACTCAAGATAAAAAGATGAATCAGGCGGTCACTTGGAACATATACCTGTACCGATTTTCATCATCATTAAACACAGGGTGTTCGAAAAATCAAATAAATATTTTTTTCGAGTTGCTGAAGAAATATTGCCTACTTTTTCTTTTTAATTGTTTTCTCATACACATTGTATTTTTGAATGATGAAAATCGGACAGATATGTTCAAAGTGATCCTCAATAATAATGTGTCATCAATTCTTCTCAAAAATACCACAATACCACATTTTCTGATCACCTATTAAAAAGAACATAATTCGTTTTTTCGGACACCCTGTGTTTTATGATGATAAAAATCAGTAAAGGTATTTTTCAAGTGATCGTGATTCAGAATCCATCATTGTTTTTTGTGAAAAAAAATCCCTAATAGTAGTTTGACCAGGACGATTACAGTTCATGAGTAAAAACACTCTCTTTTTGGATGGACATTTCAAATAACTATCCAACAGAAAAAAGTTTTTTGATATCGGTCACATAATAACAATTTTACAGGGGTGGACACACTGTATATACATATATAATTTCAAAAATGATTTAGAATGATCTTCAAGTTTCCCCTCGGGTACTTGAAATTTTATATTTACTAATAACGTGAATTATTCACTATTTTTTCGTGTATATATATATCTCCAGAAACAAAAGAGTGAAAGGGAAGGGCTCAATTTCAAGAGACATGCACACCTGTACATTTACTACTATCATTTTCAAAGCCAAAAAGACATGACGCTAATAAAAAAAAACAATTTTTTTCTCCTACTCACCATCCGGATACAGGATACACCATACCACCACGGCGTCGGCGTCGTTACCACAGCAACGCAACTACCATCAGGAGGGACGTTTTGTTACCGAAAATCGGGAAGCAACAACTGAAGTTAGTGTCAGTTCGCAAACCGACCCGTTTCCCCACGCCTGAGAGGCGAGCTCCATCGCGCGATGATCTCGTTAACTATGAACTGTCGTTGTTTAGATTGACGCCGGGCGATTAGCGAGTTCTTCTTTGTTCTTCTGTGCCTGACATCGAGCTGTCGTGGTTCGCTCATAGAGGGCTTTGACATAATGACCGGCCTTGGGCGTCATTCTATCTAATTTTTTCCCTTGATTTGACGTTTCGGTTTCTTTTTTTGAGACTTGGTGGTCTGTTTACATATTGAAAGTGGTTCGTGCAAACGTGATTTAAGATTCAGGATCAAGAGAAATAAACAATAAAGGTGAGTGATTTTCTTTATCACTTTGTACTTCCGTTAATTGATGATAATTTGCCGTCACCAAGTTCTGATGTTCGTATATCGTGTTTACATTTTGCGTGAATCCAATTACTTAACCATATTATCACCCTTCTTACTTGTCTTTCAATCTAGTTCTATATTCATTGTATTAATATTTTAGGTGAGTATAAAAAAATCGTGTTGTCTGAAATGATAATATTATTATCATAGTGAAGTTATAATAATATAGATATATTTATAGGTTAGGTCGGCCTAGAGCGCCGTCCTACCATAGTTTAATAATAAGGAACCTAAAGTACCTATAAAAAGAAGGGAACAAGATTTTGAGATGAGCTTACGAGCCTGTTTCTTTTCGTTATTATAATGAGGATACATCTTTTCTGATCGAGGGTTATACAGGGTGAGTCGGGTGCAGATTGAAGTTTAATTGGTTTGGTGTTGGTAATTCGGAATTCCACAGAATTTCTAATTTGGAGACCTTTCGAGGGACCTTCATCAGTGGCGGATCCAGGGTATAGGTTAGGGGGGTACTGAATATAAAAGGTACAATACGAATATATATTACAGGGTGATTCGTGAGAAGACTCACATATACTGGGTGTCCCAAAATTACCCTGCGAAACTTCACCAGCGACTTCTAATACAAAAACTAGTAGGTAAAATTTCAATGAACATGAGTCGAACAATGTCTCCTAAGGGAGGGAGCTACGGTCCCTGAAAAAGGGGGCTCCAGAAGATTGTATTTCTTAAATATTTCCGAAACGCCATGTGATGAAATGATGCAATTCAGTACAAGAACTAAACTTTCCATGCCCAATGCAGTGAAAATAAAATCATCAAAATTTCATTCAGGAGTGTATAATTCGGGTATAATACAGGGTAAGACAACATTAAATATTTCTCAAACTTTTTTGCAAGCATAGTTTTCGACAATTTGATCTCGGATTATGAAAACCCACATCTCTTCACAGAAAAAATGTACTCTTGTTTCCGAGCTTATTCCGTATCTTTTTCAAGTAAAATCGATTTAAAAATATTAGCACATCTCAGATATTATGCATCACATTGCAATCAATCCTAGTGGATATGAAAAAAAAATGCTCAAAAATTGAAGTAGTTTTTAATCATCATTCTCCTATTTTACGGGCTTCTATAAGATTGTTTGGTGAAAATAAAGCAGTTCATTTTTTTATAGCCACTATGATTTAAAAACTGTCAACGTTCAGCATCAGATGTGAGTGTAATAGTTATTTAACCAACTAATGTATTAATGAGGGCGATTAATGATCGAGATATTTTAACGTGCAAGCGAAGCGAGCGCGTTAATGTTCGAGACAGAGATAATGGAAAAAGCTGCGAAAGTTGGATTTGTTTATGGAAATTTCAAGAAAAAAGTATGACTTGGCATAAACGAAAAATTTATGGAATCTAAAAAAGTACAGAAATAAAATCTTCTTCGGAAAGTGTACTTTTTTGAAATACTTTGAGTAACTAGGAAATGCGTCTACTCTTTGGATACAATATTCAATGTGGCATAGTGCCACATTATAAAATGAATACCAATAAGCTACATTACTCGGATTCTTTTAATAAGTGCAGTTGTAGAAAAAGTATAGTGTGCGCAACATGTAGGGAAAAGCACTTTTCCCACTTGTTGCACAATATACTATTTCCATACATAACACATATTACTCAATATTCTGTGGCATTAGCCAGGAAAGAAGTTGTTTTCGGCTATAGTTGCACAAGTGCTTGAAAATTACCGATAATTTTGCAAGAAAGCATACGAAGGCCTGGAAGGCCTGGAAGGCCTGAAAGGGACACATAAAATGAAAAAAAAAATAACCTCTTTTCAATTCTGAGTTATAACTCGGAATTTTAAAATTCCGATATATATCTCCGAGTATATCTCGGAATTTTACATTCAAAATTCCGAGTCAAAAGTCGGAATTTTACATCCAAAATTCTGAGTTATAACTCTGAATTTTGAAATTCCGAGCAATAAGTGGGAACTTTAATGTGAAATTCCGAGTTATAACACGGAATTTTAAAATTCTGAGTTATAACTCGGAATTTTGGATGTAAAATTCCGAGATATAAGTCGGAATTTCAAAATTCCGAGTTAAAACTCAGAATTTTGAAGAGTTCATTATTTTATTTATGTGTCCCTTCCAGGGCTTCGTAAAAGCCTGTTATCTAAAAATTGCAAGTTTCTTTTCATATTTTGACGAAAGTCCGAAGGAGGAGGGCTGCAATGCAATTGGTTTGAGATAACACGCTTGAATGCAAAATTGTCTGGTCCTTTTTATGCACGATTTTTTTTTATCGCTTGGAGCGCACGAAAGGGAATCCCTATAATGTTCAAAGAACATCTTGCATTCATTGGAATATTTCACGAAGTAAGGAATTCTGACGATTAGATTTTTTTTTGTTTCACCTTCATTTATACTTTTTTTGAAGTCCATCTAACTTTATATATAATATTTTTGAATTGGCAACAGTGCAACTTGGCTATAGGAGGCTAGACTTCTTCACAACGCGCATTCCACGCGCGCAATGCAAATGCCCGAATACGCCCGAATAGCACGTTTTGTCGTGTCGCGTCGCGAATTGCGGAAAATCCAGCACGAGTGCATTGTTTATGTTTATGTAAGGTTAATGGTTAGGGGCTCTATAAATTTCTGAAAAATGAGTGTCTTAAACGATTGCGATTTAGTGAAATACTTTTTGGTGAACCTATTCAGTGCTTTATCTTATGAAGATAAATTGATTGTGTAAAACAAACGTCCGACACCGGAATTAAAAAATCTGATTGTAACAGGTAACAAACAAATTCGTTCGTTCAATTCTGATAATTTTAAAAAGTATATCTGGTTGACGGGATCTGAGGTAAGGAATAAGATATTTTGTTGGTACTGCGTATTATTTTCAACCGATAAGTCATCAGGTTGGGGGCGATTAGGATATAATGATTTGAAAAATTTGCCTCGCGGATTGGATAGACACTGAAAATCACAAAAACACATCTCTTCAAGTATTAAGTTCAGGTTAACTGGTAAACAGTATGTCATTAAAGCTATTGATTTGGGTGAGTAGAGAGTTGTGTTTTTCACAATAAATTTCATTCAGCCTCCTCTGTCATGAAAGTCACGAGCCGCCACTGATTTACTGGTGTCTAGCGACATGGCTTTATAAATGATTGTGTTGTTGTGGCGACAGTGCAATATTCGCTCTGCAGTGCAATTACCGATATATGAGGGAAATATTCTGTAAGATATTTGAACTTTGAATGAGGTATTTCCAATATTTGATAGATTAAATTAAATATTCTGTGTTATTAGCCAGGAACTAGTCGATTTCTACCAGATATCATTACAATGGTTTTCATATTTTTAACAAAAAAAAATAAACATTCAACTTCAACCGGAATGCCAATACTGGTACAAAAAAAATCTAGATCATCCAGTGTAATATCTATAGACTTTTTTTCCACCCTCTCTCAATTGGTAGCGGATTCAGCGATGGATTCACAGCCAGTTTTTATCGTTCGAAGGGGGGAAAGGGGGGGGCTCCTGGTGGCGAATGACGCGTACATCCGGGATCCGGGATATCCGGAAGCGCCGGATTAGGGAAGTACAGGGTTCCGGGATCCCCCTAATAGATGGATTAAATGGCTCGCAACCGCTCGGGTCCGACCTATTCGCATTTCGCTATCCGATCATTAGCGCAAAAAGGCTATAGAAAGAGTTTCAGAGGGCTGTGTGCGAGATATCGATTGTACAGGGTGATTGACTATGGATTTCAAGCTTTCAACACTCAATATCCCCTGAAACTGATCAAGATATTGGAATAGTTATGTACCTAACAAGTGCGGAAAGTGATACTTTCTCGCACGAGAATGCCGTTGACCCAAACGACGCGAAGCGGGGTTCGGGCAAGAAGTCGAGTGCGGGAAAGACACTTTCCGCATGAGTTAGAAACAATATTTTATCTACAAGCGTAGGAAACTGATTGATTTGTTTAATCAATTATTCCTGCAAATAGGAACAACTAACAATAGTGATATATTCTCTTATCTTAGTCACAGATTTAGTGATATATCTATTGTATGTACCATGTATGTACCGTTTGAAGCATTATGTAGGTAAGCTTATTGCGGAAGCCAGCATGCCCATGGTGTTTGGCCTCTATAGGTTTCAGACATTTTTAGGAAATGAGCCAAAAATACTTCTCTTTCATTTGCTGTTTTCACGTTTTTATCTTCATTTGGTGACTTCACTTTATGACTATTGCACCATTCAATAAATCCCGTGTAGTGCTTCACATATACCTTCGTTGGCAATAACTGTATCGCATCTGTAGCTGGAAGGTTTTCATCGCAATTCCACTCAATCGAAAATGACAGTAACGCTCTGTCTGTCACTCTGAGAATTACAATAACTAATTTGTGTTTTGATTGACATGACAACAATTGTCAGATCAATTAAGGCTATAGGGGGATTTATATAGCATCCAATTATTATTTTTTCTACTACTGCTATGAAATGTAGCGCATTTCTCATAGCTTACTTAGTTTCCAAACCATGTATTGCTCATACTATGAGAAATATTTTTTCTCACGGCACTTTGCCAACACCACATATTTCCATGGAGAATCAACAAAAATCGACCAAAACTTAATTAGCTGGTGTTCAGCTTTGAATAGTTGTCACAACTGTCTAAAGAAGTTTTTTGAATTCTTTAGGGTAGTTCTCATTAGTGCTTTTGATAGAAATCGCAGTTTTCATCAGATATTATTCCAACAATTCATAATAAATAATATGATGTTTATACCGAGATGTGACGATTTTGAAAAAAAAGTATGAATTGGCATATACGAAAAATTATGGAATCTAAAAAAAATACAGAAATAAAATCTTTTTCGGAAAGTGTACTTTTTTTTAAATACTTTGAGGAACTAGGAAAGGCGTCTACTCTTTGGT